AACATTGTGTTTGCCAAAGATAGAGACTTACACTGTAGTGAAGTGTTTAATTGGATATATCAAATTTTAGTTTTTATTTAAATATTAGTACTATGCATACTATACATGAAGCACAAATGTGCAGCTGGTAAATACCATTATATCCTGGAGACTTACATTCATATGACTTATAGTTTATTGAATTTGAACAAAATACTTAATCAGTGAAACTTTAACCCTTTAACTTCCAAGATGTGATTGTCAATTCTTCCATTTACCTGCTAAACATTTCCTTGTTAATAAGTTACAAGAATTTGGTGTTAGATCAGGATAAAAACTTTCACCCGATGAGTGTAAGTATTCTTAGTACCTGTTTCATGGATAATGGGTGGATTTTACTAGGAGAAGTTACATGTCCATCACTTCTAGGAGTTAAAGGGTAAAGTACTCATTTGCTCCAATTAAGAGGGGAGGCTGCAGTTTACGTCCCCTTAAGAAATGGAAGCTGGAAGGGATTTGATCAGGGACAGCACTGTCAACACATCATCATTTCTTTGTAATATTATTATGTTGATAGAACCCTGTTCAAAACTGTTTTGCTTTTCCATCCCCATTGCAAATTTGAGATTGGGGAAGGTGGTGATTTACAATATCATTTACAAAATAATTGCATTTCCATTTTTGCTATTTTCAAAAGCAAAAGGTAACCTTGACTTCCAGTAAGTTAATTACTAGTAATTTATCCCTTTGGTGCTTTTCAGACAAAAGTTGTGGCTTTACTGTTCATGAAACACACATCAAAGTTCACTTTAAGATAAAGACCTGTACCTTAGTCTTATAAAACAGTTATGGTAACCACATCTCACAACATGGAGAAATTTAAAACATGTTGTTTTCATCTTGGTGCTGATCTACCAGACTGCCCCTGTCAACCCTGACTTGAGTTTTGAGTCTTTCCCAGAGGTGGTTTCTTTGCCTGGGATAACTTACTCTTTCCTTTGTCGGTTTTACCTCTAAAGAGTCTGTTTACATCTAATGAGTTAATTTGAAAAGGAGGATTTGTAGCAGACTTATTTCTTTCTTTTGAATTTGGCATCTGTTGGACCTTTTGTTCCACATTGGCCATGTCCATGGCTAATCTAGTAGGTGCATAGAGATTGAACCATTGCTGTAAATAGAGGAAATGATTTCCTATTAGTTTCCACCAAGTTTCTGCAGAGATACCAACCCTCAGAAATAAATAAGGAACCTTTTAACTGCAAAAACCATGAACACCAAAAGAGAAAGTCTGCTCTCAAAACTTCATTGCAAGTTGCTCTTCCTTGAGTGAATGCTGGTCTAATGGAAGTAACCTATGTGCTCTTCCAAAATTTTTCTGAACTGTTTCTAGTACACATTTATCATAAACTTCAAAGTTGAGAGAATTAGAACTTCTGGTGTCAACAGCCTTTCCCAACGACACATCATATTTACCACTCAGTCCATGGGCTCAAATCAGGACCTTCCAATCCAGCGCATTAATCTTAAGTCAATAATAAGTTACTGATTAACTTGTTGCAAAATCACAAATTGAGTTACGCCTACCTTTGTTTCTGGACTTAGACCTGTTGCAGTAAAAAGATATTGCCAGAGAGGAAGGCCAAGATGGACTATCATCATTCTGAAATAATCAGTGAAAGATAAAGCAAGATACCACCATTCCAGTGAACGATCAAGAAACCAGATCTCAGGTTGTCCTGTTGTTACTCCTGAGAAAAGAGGACACTGATGAGCATTGACAAGTTTTTTTTCTCTATTTTGAGCACATGCCAAAAATCTGCTAATTTTGATAACTAGCAAACTTGCAGAGAAGAGACAGAAAAAATGAAGGATATTCCAATGTCGAGAACTTAGTTGATATAAAAGAATGTCTATGTTGTGGTTCAATTTTATCCTTGGTTCAAATTTTATTTCCATTGTTTCAAACTTGTTATCATACATTACAATACACAAAAACAAAAGAAAACAAAATTTGGACCAAGGATAAAATTGAACCACAACATCTATGTCAACCATTTGGCAGTTTGGAAAAATCTACGATTTTATTTGAACTGTCCAACTTCACCCACCAGCTTTGATGTCTTTGTAAACCAAACAGACTTTACCATAGCTGTCACATGCATCCAGCTCAAAAACCTTGCAGCGATTATCAAAGTGTGGTTTTATATGACCTGGTGAGGAATTGAAAACAAAGGAAAGAACATCATCTGATGATCACTAGCACTTCTCAGTTTTAGCTGGGACAGATCTTTATTATTGACAAAATCATGGTATTCAAGGTCCTGTTTCAGTGGTAGATCCAGGAGGGTAGGATGAGTGGGGTTCAGATCCGTCTCCATCAGATCTGACAAATTTTTTAAAGAAAGCTTCTTGAAATGTGGGATCACATATTACTTCTTAACAAATATATTCACTTGGCTTGAATCATTCCTTTGCTTATATATGTTAGGGTCCAACTTAAAGAAAAATAGTTTTTTTTTTTTTTTTTTTTTAAATCAAAGGATGCTTCCCCTCTCCCCCTCCCTCTGTCAAATTTCTGGATCTGTCCCCATGTTTGGTCAATACCTTGGCCATCTTCTTCATCTGAATCAGTATCTAAATCAGCCAATGAGGGTTTGTCGTCACTAATAGATGTTGCTTTAGACAGCAACACTAGACCTGTAACAGGATTCAGCTCCATTTTTCCCAGTGGTAAAACACTCCCTGATTAAATGGAGAAAATAGATATGAAACAACAAATCAAACCGTCAAAATGTTCAGTGATGATTCTAAGAAGTCTTACAAGCCAAGTGACCCAAAACTCTTTATGACCAAAGTTTCCTGCTTCCTGCAGCCTGTGAAGGCACCAGGAAACATTTACCAATACTCGCATTATTTTTTCAAATATGCATTGTCAATAATTACCATCAAACTTGATGCTCCACTGAATTAACAGTCCATTTGTTGTGAGGAAAAAGCTCTTCAAGTCCTCTGGCAAGATACACATGTTCTTCTATCAAATATACAGTGTTGAGAATGGTATGTAATCGTTTTTTGCTACTCATAACACACTGGTCAATATAATGTTACTTCACACGTTAATGTTTATTCAGGAAATGAAATATTACCATCTCCCAAGTAAAGATAATGTGTTTTTCCGCTTGTCGTCTATCAAGTAGACGGAAATCTGTTACACCTGGCTTCTTTTCTGAAAAAAAAAAGTGGAAGCGCGGCATATTCACAGCTGAGCTTACTTCAGTTTTTACCTCGAGTTTCATGAAATTTGAATCAGAGCTTTGCATTAAATTTAATAACCCGTTTCTGTTAAAGTAAGTATAAATTAAGTATTTGAAAAGAGGACTTACCAAGCGATCGAACTACTCCCAAAGTCACAGAATCAAATAATTCCCTAACTCGACTTTGTTCACTCAAGGACGCCAGGGCAACAGTTTTGGCTAGATTTTGTCTCCAATAGGGAGGAGAAGGTAGTAGAAGGATGATCGTGTTTGTCTGTACCTTATATTATTTATTTGTAATTCTTGATATTTATGAATTGTAAAAATTCAATTTAATCTATTTAAGGTCACACAAGAAAATGAAAAATAAAAAAAACAACAACAACAACAACAACAAACATATGAGGAACAGCAATTCAAAACAGGCCTTACCTACCTACCTACAAATGTGCACCTCAGAGAGCAAAATAGCTAAGAAACTGGGAAAGAGGCGATTAGTTTTGTTCATAATAGTGGCAAATTTGGACGAGTCGCCCGAAGACAACATAGATCAATTACCTGAAACTGCAAATCCTGTACCACCCAGAAGCTTTACTGTAGAAAACGATAATTTTTCCAACGAAGACGAACAGTTACTGAGGTTGAAGAGCTCGAAGACGAAGAAAGAAACCCTCTTTTGGAGCTGAAAAAAGTGCAAAGTGCAAAGAATGGCTGCAACAGCAGAAGATAAACCATGAGGCTGAATTACTTGTCCGTGAGTTTATTTCAGTAACATTTGGTGTTCAATAAGCTTTTACAATTCATGAAATTCTAAAAAATTCGGACAGCTTTACCACATGAGCATTATCAGTGTACGTAAGCTTGTCTTTTTGTGTCAGCCATCCCAATGTACTGTAGCCGAAATGGAATGGGCATGTACATTTCACGTAGATCAGTCGATTTCCTTGATTTCCTGGCTGTTTGAGAAATATAAAGAGCAAGCGCATCCACTAGATAGAAGTTTAAATTTCGATTAAACATCAGGGCTGTCAATCAGCGTGAAAGTGCAAGGAAACAAAGGAAAGGAGGCGGTCTGATTCAAGCGGACACCGAGCTATTTTCAGGAAATTGTTTGGGTAACTGGTTGATGTAGGCGGCTTAAAGAGGGTTGGCTGAAATTGATTCAGATGGTTATTTAACCTTTTTTATAATAAAGTTCGGATATAACGCGTGCTGTCATTGGTTAAAAGAGCGTGCTCTATGAGAGTTTATATAATAAGTTCAGTTATGCACGCATTCTGATTGGTTCTCACTTATGATCTATTGGAGGACAGACGTATAGATGACGTCATCATTAAAACTTTTTTTTCCTTATATTTAACAAATAGAGAAGCCTTGACTGTGCTCTGTTCTGTTATAAAGCACGCAGGAAGCGGCTAGAGCACGAAAGAAGTGTAGGGAGAAACACTCGACTACGTCTCGTGTTTCTCCCCACTTCTTGAGTGCTCTAGCCGCTTCCTAAGTGCTTTATAACAGAACAGAGCACAGCCAAGGCTTCTCCATTAGTTTTATAATAAAGAATCCATTAAATTCCCCGAGCAATACTTTCAATTTTCAAAACAAACTTTATTTGCAAAGCGAACTACAGTGTCGTCAGCATGCTCTATACTCTCATAAAGCACGCTATAATAAGCCAATCAGAATCCCTGTTGGAATAGTTCAAATAATCTGATTGGCTGTACAAGACTAAAGCTGTCAAAAGTGTCAAACCATCAAAGTTCACCTTCTGCGATAGTTTACAAACTAAAATAGTTCGGCAAGTCGAATTTAACACTTTTGCCTGAAGTTTTTAAGTCTCTAATACAGAATCTTGAAGTGAAATTTTCAGTGAACTTCAGCCGAATTATGGCTCATAAAAACACGCGAGTTTTTCACATGACAAGGTAGAAAACAAACTGTTCAAGGCGAGTGCTTTTTGAATGAACGACAGCCGAATTCACCGGAACATAAAGATCGCTCGGGATGACAGCGCGGCAAAACTCGGCTGCAGTGACAGATGTGACTTTCCACTCAACACATCGGAAAGGATATCAAAGCAAGCTTTTATTTTTTCACTCGTAGGGCGGCCGATGTAGTTTCTGAGGTTTGCTTTACTGTGATGACCGGAGATCGCCATGATGAGCGAGCCGCGATGGATTTCAGCGTGATCATATTCGATTAGACACCGTCATGATTAGAATGAATTTTCACGGTTATGCCAGTTTGGTTATATTTTTCATCATTTCTGTTTTGTTTTTGAACACTGAACTTTATATACTATATGAATGTTAGCTGTGTTTGATTTTGATTTCCGAAGGTAAGCTTGTAATCTAACTGAGCGTGAATCAATCTTTAAAACTCGGAATGTCTATTTTGTTTTTCCTTTGAGGATTTTCGTATCTGCTCACGTTTTAATAACGTAAATTACGGCGCCTGGTATGTTTACAAACCTTTATTTGGTTCTTCTGTTGCTACTTGCCGGCTCGCTTGTTCCGAACTTTAACTTTCAATCATCGGGAGAAAGCTAGAAAAAAGTCCCGGAAAAAGTCGAACATAGTACAATTTGGCAGATGGCATGACAGCTTTAGCTCAGCTCTATGTTCTATTCTCTCATAGAGCACGCTCTTTCAACTAATGAAAGCGCGCGTTATATCCGAACTTTATTATAATTTAATTCTTTATTATATATATAAAAAAAACTCCAAGTTGCCGTGCGTCTGTTCAGTAATAGATCACAGATGACGTCAAAACGTGGTAAGAACATCAGTGACACACTTGGCTGCTCCTCGTGTGTCACTTTTTTGTTCTTACCACATTTAACGTCATCTGTGATTTACTACTGAACAGACGCAGGGCAACTTGGAATCTATTTGTTAAATAGAGCATGCTGACGACACTGTTGTTCGCTTCGCAAGTAAAGTTTTTTCGAAAATTGAAAGTAATTCTTGGGGAATTTAACGAATTATTTATTATAAAACAAATAGAGAAGTCTTGACTGTGCTTTGTTCTGTTCTAAAGCACTTAGGAAGCGGCTAGAGCACTCAAGAAGTAGGGAGAAACACTCGGCTACATCTCGTGTTTCCCCCTACCCTTCTTTCGTGCTCTGGCCGCTTCCTGCGTGCTTTACAACAGAACAGATTACAGTCAAGGCTTCTCTATTTGTTAAAAAGGTGGTGATGGCATCTTAAATTGCACGTGCGGAGGTGGCAGATCAGAGCGCTTTGAAACATACATAAACTTCTGTCAGGGGAGGGGCGAGGGGCTGAGCTTCCCTCTCATTTTCGCTCGGAGGAGCTGTAACCTCCCCTGTCCCCCCTGCTGCTCCACTACCTATGATGTGGTTGTGGTATTGGAAGGGATTAACTAGAGGGCCATGAACTAAACTGGCTGAGTAATGATAACTAGATAAGTAGATAGCCAAGCTGATTGTGACTCTGTTGTCAGACAATTAAACAATCATTTTTGACATTTTTTCTATCTTTGCTATGATCAGCAATGCAATTTGTCAAAACTGCACCTAATGGTGATCTCTCAGAATAGCCAATTAGGAGTATGTTTCATGTTACAATTCACCTCGTAAGCGAGGTCAACGATCCATAGTAGCCTGTAAATTCACAATGCATCAGAAGTGTCATAAGTCATTCTTGATTCTTATTTAAGCGAAATCTTTTTACCATGTACCACTCGGTCCACAGAAACGCAAAACGCAATATCCAGCCATCTTGACCTCACGCCTCACGCTTGGTCAATAAGGCATATGTTATTGAGCTTCACCAGCCAACTACATCCCAGAGGATCTTAGTCAGTTATGACAACCACTGAGAACCTCATTAATAATCATGGATTGGAGTATTTGAACGCAGATTCTTCAGCTGTCGTATTTTGCAAGATGTTTTCCTAACGTTTGAAAACACGCGGTGGCTTTTCTCTGGAATTATAACTTACGAGCGTTTTCTGAGAACATGCTCTTTGTATTCTGCTGCTTCGTTCTCGTCGTTTTGGCTTCCCTAATACCAGAAGGACAAGGTATAGTTTGAGAAAATTTCAAATTTTTCCAGCATATTAATTTTTAATTATTTTTATTGACAACCACTGAACCTTGAAATATCCGTACAAGATTTTCTTCTTGTATTAAATATAAGAAATTATTTGATGAGACAACCTATGTATTTTATGTACCTATGTATTTATTATTAAGTCATTTTGTAACCCAGTTTTTTGAAGTAACAGGATCACGAACGAATTAAAATTTTAGGGAACATGGCCTGTTAAAGTGTCTAAAAGTGAAAGTTTACTTTAAAAAAATATTTATTGTATCTTCATGAAGCCCAAGAACGTGTTCGACTTTTTCATCGGGCGCAATGGATAAGTTAGGAACTGGCAGACCTTCATTCGTATTTGAAGTCGAGGAGCTCCGTCGAACTCAACTGAAATGGCTTGGCTTGTTCGAATGAAAACTTTACGAAGCAGTAAAACTTTTCAAGTATTGTAATGAAACTTTCTAATTCGTCACAACGGGAAAAATAACCTTTCGTGGAAATATGTTGCTTCCGCAAAACCTACTTAAAAATTAAAAGAAAAAGGAAACAGAATTGCATTGGTAAAATTGGTAAAACCTGGCTGATCTACCACAGAAAGAAAGTTCTGACTGAGTTTGTGGGAAATAAAAAACAGGTGATTTCGACAAAAAGATTTTATTAACAAAGACGACAGTTGACGACAGTAGGATTTATTGTTCCTGTTATACTCATTTATACTCTGTATGTATAATGCTGGAGGGTAAAGTTCAGCGTTTCGCCTTCTAGTGACTTAATGCGCACTGCTTTTGTTACATTTCTAGATTTAAAAAGCCAGGACCTGAATACTGCTGAAAGAGTTAGTCCCAATCGCTTTTCATACCAAGGAGTTCATAAAATTTATAACCTCGAGAGTTATACGTGAGCGAGTTTGTTTTTCCCTCGGTTTGTTTTTCATAATTTTCGCAGTATGCAGTATGCTCGAAGGCTGAACTTACGACATAACAACACAAGCTTTGCATGAATTGACCAGGTTAAAAATCTCCGCGACAATAAACTTTGTAAAAAAACTAAATATGCTCAGACGTTTCGTCTAAGCATGGTTCGTTCTTTAAACTTTCGACCATTATTAAACAAATAGAGAAGCCTTTACTGTGCTCTGTTTACAAACCCTTATTTGGTTCTTCGGTTGCTACTTGCCAGCTCGCTTATTCCGAAATTTCACTTCCAAGAAACGAAAAAAGGTAGACAAAGTACAAACTGGCAGATGACGTGACAGCTTTGGCTCAGCTCCGTGCTCTATACTCTGGTAGAACACGCCCTTTCAACCAATGACAGCGCGTGTTATTTCCGAACTTCATTGCTGATTTTCACGGGACATCATCAAATTCGAAAATCCAAAAATACAGGGCAACGAGAATTTTTATCCTCATCAGGCATATGGGGGTCTAAATTTGTATCTGTTTTCAATTTTTTAACACAAAAGCGTGCTTGGTTTGGAAACCAAAGCAGTTTGAAGTTCAGAGTTAAGGTGGTTGCGTGACATAAAGCTCCGATTGCGTTTATAGACCTATCTGGTGATTTTCAACCTTTTTTCATATTAATTGTTAGGAAAAGTGTTTTCGTACGTTTTATGGTTTAGTTTAGATAATCAGTGGGCTAGATAGCTAAGGTAAGTTCCAGAAGTCCTCCACTATTTCCGGCCGCCATGTTGGCGGACCAAAGATAATCACCAGCATGGCGGCTCCATACTTGACTCTGTAACTTTGCACCAAACATTTCGACGAACATCTTAAGTTTGGGAAAACAAAGAGACCTAAAACTTGGAGAAGTGCTTCCCTAACCTTTCTCCTATAACACTGCAATTTCTGAACTTTATCCACTGAATTTCTCTCTCTCGATGTGTAACAATGAAAACGATCAATATAACACTTGATAAACACGAGTCACTCTAGATATCAAAAAAGTTGCTTATTGATTTTGGCAACAAAACGATAACGATAGCTGAACGCTCTTCCAAAGGAAGATGAAAATAGAACTGATTACTCAGAATATAAATTAGAATCACTCGACTGGTGTTATTCTCGTGGCAAAAACACAAAAGGAAAACAAAGCAATAATTGAGCACTAACACTGCTCTCGATTTCGAGTTTCAAAAGATGTACTTAATACTACATAGCCACTTTCTAATTTAATGTAATATTTCACCAGGCAACTGCCGTAATTTGAAGTTTACCAGTTTTCCTAAACCTGGCTACAGGTTGGAGAATCACACGGTTCGAACTACTGAAGTATTCGACGAAGATCAATGTGTGGCGCAATGCTATTTGGAACCTAACTGCGTCAGTTATAACTTCCATACGATAACAAAGCTGTCTGGAACACACAAGTGTGATCTGAATAACGCTACTATTGAACACGATAAAGATCTGGTGGAAAACGAAAGTTATATTTACCGCGGTGCTGAGGTGAGGATGACGCTTATTAGCCAAGAGAATGAAATTCTTTGTCTCGTCGAAGCTTCTTAACAAGACCAAGGATTCCCTACCCTATCCCCCTCCTCTTAATTCTCCTTCCAACAACCAAAAGAAAGGTTATGATACTTACACTTTTAACCTTTGAAATAGAGAATTGGGAGAAGCATATTATTTTTTATTATTATTAATTTAATATCCCCACCTCCGGAGTTGTTGTGATACATTTTGAGGATTTAGACACATTTTTTTCCTCGCTCTGAACAGTGCCACGTGTATAAAGAGAACCTATGTTTAACGCAGACATTTGCTTGAAAAATAAGCCAGCTTGCGTGGAACATATGGGTATATAAATGAGAGCACACACGAGGACCATTACAGAGGACGTATAGATTTGACAAACCTGCATAATATTCAGAACTTGCAAACACGAACGCATGCGCAGAAGGTAAACACAAAAATTAAAGTGCTCCTATTCGTTTTGTTCGTAAGAATGCGTGTGCCAGAAATCCTTGCAAGAATAATGCAACATGCCAAGCTGGGTTTACGGACAGAGGTTATCAGTGTTTATGTGTTCTTGGATCTGGATTTGAAGGCCATGATTGTGGTGAAGGTGAGCAATCCTCTGCAATTTGTTTCCAGTCAGTAAGATGATAAGTTTGTTTTTTATTTTACCATTTTTTACAATGAACAACTGCTGAAGCGGATGTCAGTAAAACTGGATACAAATTCTACGCCAAGGTCAGAGATGATACCATCATTCGATAAATTTATCACCGAGACGATGAAAAGCATTAAGTTCTCATATCTCTGCTTTCAGCCTTTCTCTTTTATTATTTATCGCCGTCATTATCATTATTATTATTTTGTCTAATTTTCATTTAGATATAGATGAGTGTATCACCAAGGAACACAGCTGCGAAGGCAATACGACATGCAATAACACCATCGGATCGTATATCTGCAGGCGTAAGGAGGGATATCAAGAAATTGAGACAAACTGTACTGGTAAGTATTCTTATCTGACAACAGGAAACGTTAACATAAGCGTTAAAACAACAACCTTGGCATAATTGTGATGCTCACTTTGTTGTCTAAGACATAGATGATTCTTGTAAAGAAACAAATGGCTCTGATGTAAATGCTGAGTGTAACAATACCCTGAGATCTTACAACCACACGTGTAAATATGGATTTCAAGAGAATGAAAACAATTGCACGTGTAACTGTTTTTAACCTATCATGCTTTTTTATTTCCCCTTCCCAGTTTTATGAATTGAATACAAACCATAACAGAACAGAACACAAGACAAAGCATAAAAAATAGGTTCATTTAAATGATGCTTCTTTCTTAATGTTCTAGACTTGAACGAATGTACTGACGGAACACACAGTTGTGATAAGGATGCTGAGTGTAACAATACCTTGGGATCTTACAAGTGCACGTGCAAACATGGATTTCATGGAAATGGAACTAACTGCACAGGTAACTGTTTGTAACAGATCATGCTATCCTTTCTCACCTTACTTTTTGGAGGTGACTTTAAAATAAAAACAAATCAAGAAATACAAACAAACAAACATTAACAAAACACAAGAAAAAACAAAAAAACAGGTTTCATTTAAATAATACTTCTTTTTTAATGTTCTAGATTTGGACGAATGCTCTGACGGAACACACAACTGTGATGTAAATGCTGATTGTAGCAATACCTTGGGATCTTACAAGTGTTCGTGTAAAGATGGATTTCATGGAAATGGAACTAACTGCACAGGTAACTGTTCGTAACACATTATGCTTTCTTATCTCACCTTACTTTTCTGAGGTGACTCTAAGATAAAAATAAATCAAGAATAACAAACATTAACAAAAAAAAGACAGAAACATACAAAAAGGTTCCATTTCCATGACATTTCTTCTATAATGTTCTAGATTTGGACGAATGCACTGACGAAACACACACCTGTGATGTGAATGCTAAATGTAACAATACCTTGGGATCTCACAGCTGCACGTGTAAAGATGGATTTCACGGAAATGGAACGAACTGCACAGGTAACTGTTTCCCGAATTTTGTCTTTCACTTCAACTATCCGATGCTTGGCGGAGAGGTAAACAAGCCTGTAGTTCGTTCCGGTAACGTGGTGTTCATCCTCACGATAGTGCTTTACGATAAGCTTCGTCGCCCAGTTTCATCTCAGAAAAATTATCGGAAATCGTATATCGTAAGGTAGACTTTAAGTAAACCTTAGTAGACCATCGCAGCGAAGTAGACCATCAAGATCGACTTTCGGCATCAGCTCGGGAAATTTACTCCTCTTCTGTAAGGCTCATTTATTTTAATAGCTAGGAACTCTTCGGCGAAATCAGCCCGCTGCGTTTCTCTGATTATTTGTAACTCAGCTTGATTTCGTTTGGAGAAAGAGGACCGTCTAACCGTCCTTTCTCTTTTGTGTGGCACTTCACGACAAATCTTATCATACACAATGTCACTCGCGTGAGTTGTACAACTTGACCAATTTTCAGGTTTTAGTTTCCACCTGTTATCTTCGACGACTTCAACAGAAACGAAACTGTGTGGATGAAAGACTTGGTAACGCTCTCCATCGTGAACGAATGAGACTAGAACCTTATCAAGGACTATCTCCTCTCTTTTTATCGGTATTGCATAATTTTCGTCGATGCCTAAGGTGTCAACTTCCCAAAACCGCTTCATAGGATCGTTCAGTTCGTTAAATGCCTTTGATCTGCTTAAAAAAGGTACAAGCGAGATTAGTTTTGTTCTTCTCTTCCTCGACGCTTTTCCTTCTGAACAGCCAATATTCGACCACCCCAATGGCCTTAGTCTAACGATTGCTTCTCCCCCAGTTTTTCTCTCAAGTCAACCTTTGCAAAATGAAGATCATCTGGTCTTGACCAATAAGAAGATCAACCATGAGATTAGTTGCTGGTTCAGGAAATATACAGACACGTAATTGAGGCCACTGCCTCCAAACCTTCTTTTGAGAGTATCATTCGCCTCCTCGCATGCTTCCTCTAACAAACCCATCGCTTTTTCTTTCTTCAACCGGCTTATTTCTCATTCTCGTGGAATTTTTTCTGCGTCGCATGCATTAATAAGCTGAAGGGAAATTATGCCAGTTCGCTTTTCTGCCTCGGGGACGTGCGAGGGTTTTTCTTGCTGAAACTTCGAGAACATTTTCGTGAAATTCTTTAACAGGTGAATAACCACTGGATATCAATGACGCTAAACCAAAGCAATTGTGCTTTTCTGAAGACATGCGTCTCTATAATCTGTGAGTTACCTTAGCATGGTAATTGCGATGTAGACCTTTCACTGTAGAACGAGAGAAAAATGACGTAGGAAGAGCGCAAATTTCAAAACAGTAAACTCGATTTATAATTCAAGAAAAAGTGGGCTTCGATCGACAAGAGAGCGAAGGTTTGTGATTTCGGATGACGATTACTTCACAAAGTAGGGTTGTTCGATAAGCTTGAACGACAGTAAGGCAAAAGTGGGTGATTTTCTGAACGACACGGAAAACTTTTGGGCTCAGTGAAATCGCAGAGGGAGTTTCATAGAGAGACAATAGCCAAAATATTGTAATTTTTTGGCTCGATCGATGGCACTAAAATATTTTCGAATACACACTGTTGATGATGTCGCAGATAGTTTTTTGTTCGTCTCGCGCAATGATGGCACGAAAGAGCGTGACTTTTAGAAATACGCAAAACGGACTGAATGGTTAGGAAGTTGTAGAAAGAGTTAATTGTATGGCTCGTGCAACAAGAGCGCGAAAATTTATGATTTTGAATGTTTAGTAAGTTGCAAAGGGAGTTCCTTGTGCGGCTTGGGCAACAGTAGCTCAAAAGAGCGTGAGTTTTTTAAAGACGTAATGGATACGAAAATATTTAGGTTCGATGAAGTCGCAGAGGGAGTCATGGTTGGTTCCAGAGACGATTATGGCACAATAATTTTTATAAATGTGAATGTTGGTAAAGGCGCAAAGATAATTTCTTGTTTAGCTCGCGCCATAACAGCGCGAAAGATCGTTTTTTTTTTCAAAGGGACGCGAAGAGGTTCGAACAAACTTCTTAGCACGAGTGACAGTGGTGCGAAAGTTTTTGAGTATTGAATGTTAATGCTCGTATGACAGTACTGTAGCGCGAGGGTTTTTTAAATTTTGAATGTTAAATAAGTTGCAGTGTGAGTTGTTCTTTCTTGCTTTTCAACTTTACTTCAGCAAATATAGCATGAAAGTGCCTGAGTTCTTAATCTCTAATATGTCGTGTCGTGTAGTGTAACCTTCACAAATTTGCCCTCCATCTCCTGGTAAGTAATCAGTTGTTGTTAACGAAGACTTCCTTACCCCTCCACCAAAGCATATTATATTTGTCATTTAAGCCATTTCCGATGATTTCGAATTTCGCGCAGAGGTATTCGGCTTAAAGTCGACACTTCAAGCTTTATCCCTTAAAACGAAGAAAATGACCATAAAAGGTGCGTTTCTGAGCCCTATCGTTTGACCGGAATCTAACCCTAAGTTTGATATGTGGCATCGGCTTCTTCCAAGCTGTCCGCGGCACTTTCTTCGGATTTGTTCATCTCTATAGTTCTGGCACACGAACAAGAATCTCCCTTTGGCGGCCACCTGTCCCCAACATTTTTGAACAGCCAAAGTGGTGCGTTTTAAAAAACCAAAATATTAGAACAACAGAGCAATATCAAATGACCCTCATATCATTTACACTCGTGTTGCTGTCCTAGATATAGATGAGTGTAACGATGGAGCACAGGAGTGTAATATGAATGCTGATTGCCACAACATCATTGGATCTTACAAATGCACTTGTAAAGATGGACTTCGTGGAAATGGCATAGACTCTACTCAGAGGAAGTACTTGCTACCCTTGTAATCTTCAGACTTTTTTTTTTGTTTGTTTTTGATTTTACATTTTAAGATCAAAAGTTTTGGTTTGGGCCGTGAGGAACCAATTCACTCACATTTCTAACAACGTTCTTAACTAGATAGTCAAGAAAAAAATGTCTTTTCAATTTTAACTGAACTCCCAAGATTAATTAGTTTGTAGATTCTCTTCAAATTTGTAACGCACAGTTAAGTAGAAAGATAAGAAAAATGCATTTACAGAAATTTCAAAACAGTCCTATCCTCAAAACTCTCCTCAAAGTTTAGGCCTTTTTACCATGAAAAGATACAGGTTTTTTCATCTCGGTGGTGACCAATTTGAAATTTTGGTATCGGAATCGAGAGCAGAAGCAGAAGAGTAGGCCAGGCACGCCGCGAGATTCTTGGTATGTCTAAAAACATAGTTTGATACCAGGAAAGAGAAGAAAGAAACTCGTGGCACAGGGGAAGAAGTGCTTTTCTCTTTAGCTTCTTTTTAATTCAGGCCACTATTTTGCATTGAGGGAGACACCACAGGGATATGTTTATTCATCCATTCTGTAAAAGATAACGGTTTGTGGTTTGTGTCATCTATTGACGTCAAGATTCGTTCCATCTTCCTTTTTTCTAAAGCATTTTTTAATGGTATTCTTGTCTACTCTGCACAATCTGTTGAGCATTCTTAATCTCATTTCTGTCTCTTAAGATTTCACGAATCTTTTTATCACGAATGGTAAGCAAACTTCTTAGTGCCATCGAAACTTTATTCCTGAGAATTTTTCCTTCTGCTGCACAAGATCAACCTTGCCATCAGGACGCTTTCTTGACATTTCCCGTCCTCTCCACTTTTCGGAAAAAGCGTCTCGTGGGCCAGGAAGCGTGCATTTTGATTGATTTATTTGTTCCTTCAGCGCCTCTGAATCCCACTGATTTAATCTTTCTTTGGATCTTAGGCGATGTATCAACCAAGTATTTTTACTTGTTAGAGGAATTCTCAGGAGATTTTTCTTCTTTATCTTTTTCTGCCGAATTTACAGGAATCTTTTTCCTAAGTGGTAGTGGGCATTATAAACAATTCCTACTACATTTTTGACAAATTCTTACTAGTATCATAACTCTCCCTTTTATTTTGTGTTTATTGCACAGGCTTTACAGCTGTGTTTACAAATCTTGGTAAGAGTGGAAGGAAAGGTTCAGAGTCGATTGGTAGTTACTACACAGGTCAGGATCATGACGGACAAGTTGCAGTGTCCAGCGGTATTCAACAGTGGACTGTGCCACATACTGGTGAATACAGAATAGAAGCAATAGGAGCTTCCGGGGGATACGGTGAGGACAGTATCATCAAGAACGGAGGAAGAGGAGCACGGATGATTGGACACTTTAAATTGACAAAAGATGAGATCATACATGTCCTTGTTGGTCAAAAAGGGAAAAGAGGAGATCACCACAAACAAACTGCTGGAGGCGGAGGAGGTACATTTGTAGTGAAAGAAGACAACACGCCTTTGATAATAGCTGGAGGTGGAGGAGGAATTAAAAATATGTCAGAACAACATCTGGGATGTGATGCGTCCACAAGCACCACAGGGAATGCAGGGGACAACTCGCCATTGGGTTCGGGGGGAAGCAACGGACATGGAGGACATACAAATGGTTGGTTTTCTGGTAGGTGGAGAACTTTCTTTTCACAAATACTAAGATTTTCGTTGCATTCCACTGCCATCCTTCAGGATCTTCAACCAAATGAGAGAGTCAGTCGCTAATAATTAGATTTTGAACGATTTATGAAATCAATAGTTATCGAAATTACTTTTAAGTTTTTCTTTCATAATACTTTGGAAACGCCTCATACAAGCAGTTAAAATTCTGTCAAATTTGGCTTTTTCCTTTTTTGAATTTCCTGCACATTTATCCAATTCTCTACAGCGATCCGCGAATATAAGGAAGGAGAAGACATCGAAAAAGATGACAAGGCTTCTTATTCGCTAATTTTGAACCTGGATTAAATAGAAACACTAAACAGAGAGTCGAAGCTAACCCTAAAGCTGACTTGTCCTCACAAGCTTTTCATTAACAATGTCCATGCAATAATTAAGCTTCAAAACAATAAAGAAATAAACCTCGTTGCGAAACACTCCAATCGTTGTTTGATCGCAATAACTCAAATCTATAGGTGCTATTTTTAAGAGAACCACTGATCACTTTTTTTTGATTGTATTATAGGTGGCGGCGGCGGCGGCGGCTTCCACACAAATGGACACGATTCAACGTGCCAAAAGTTGTTTAGTGGGGGGAAAGGAGGTTTCGGATATCATCAAGGGGGAGAGGGTGGAAAGCATTGGGGTGGGTTTGGAGGTGGCGGTGGTTTTTGTACACCAGGGAAGGGACCGGGCGGAGGGGGAGGTTATTCTGGGGGAAGTGGTGGGGCTAATGAACATATTTCCTGTGGGGGAGGGGGAGGTTCTTTTAACAATGGAACAAGTCAGTGTAATGAATGTTGCTATAATAGCGCTGGTCATGGCTGGGTAAACATCACATTTTTCCAATGAAGAGCACATGACAACACTTTTGTTAACTTTTAGTAGTAAACTACTTTTGCTTAAACGTGTCCTTAATGCAAATACAGTTTTCAATTGGCCAATAAATAAACAGGTAAAGAATTTGCACTTGTTCGTATTTTGCACAAAAAAAGATTTGTGAAGTTGGTTCTCCATATTCATATACATTTCAATAACTGTATTTCCTCGAATAAGCATCTGCCAGGCGCTTACTTATAATTTTGGCTGAAGGGAGGGGCGCTTATCGGAAGAGGGATGCTTATTCAAGGGGGGGCCCTCGTAAGGAATCTATTAACCTGTACTAATTCCACTGTAGCTGAAGCTTAAAAAGTTCTATATAAAGTGGCAATACAAATTGATTTTATAGGCAAGGGAGCAGATACCAGGTCTGTCCCAATTGTGCTCGCAAAATGCTGAAAAGTTGCCCTCTGAAATGTCAAAAAGTTGCTAAAAAATTGCTTATATTAATAAAGTTGCTACTTAAATTTCTTGAAATTTTGTTTGTAGACAGTAATAAAAAGCTTTATTTTTCGTTCTACACAATAATTTCTAACATCCGAAAAGAAATAAAGCTTGAAACTTAGCTTAAAGAAGTTACTTACAAATATGGGTGTAATTTAAGAATAATCTGGAAAAGAAAGAAACGAAGATGGATTTTTTTTGGGCTTCATTTCAGCCAATTCTCCGTTCTAATTATATCAGATAAGGATCGCAATAGGCCTGCGAAACGATGTCAAGTAATAGTTTATGTGAAGTTTTTTTCGTGCTTGATATGTGCTCTAAACCTTGATTATGTTAAAAACATTCTCAGAAAGGCAAAAATTGCTCGAGTTTGCTAGAACAGCAAAAAATTGCTCCAGACGCTAAAAGTAGCTCAAATGTTGCTGAGTGCAAACGAGAAAGGCCTAGTAAGCGCTTATTTGGGGGAGGGCGCCTATTTGAGCGTGGGAGCCGTCTCAGTTATCAGACTAGATCAATTCGGATCTGATTCATTTGCCATTAATCAGGGTACTAGCGCTTTTAAATACTTCATGTGATGGCACGTTCAAATTACGCTAAACTTTATTCACTTTTTAGATAGTCATTTTTCTGCCAAAGTCTAGAATAACTTTTCAGGCGGCTCTTGTACTCTTTTACTAAAGTGGGGGAGAATGCTATACTTGGCAAAAGAAAGGACGTTTGTGCCTGATAACGACTAGAAATTAATTATCTAGAAAATTTTTCTTGCTTCCAAATGCACAAAAACCTTGGAAAAAAGCTTTGTGAGAGTTACAGAAAGGATCTCTCAGTTTTAGTGTTGATCAAATAGTACTTACTCATAATCTTAACGTGTTAATAACTATAGTTGATTTAAGTCAATAAAGTGATTTTTTCGCTGTTAAAAGTTGTTTTGTTGATTTCAGAGCTCTGGTTATGACAGGAGGTTTGAGTTTAAAAAATAGAAAAATGGGTGTTGAGACTTGGGTGGTGAGTCCCAATGAAATTCCTTTGCAATTAGTAACTTTCAAAGAGGCACAACAGCTACTGTAGCTAGAAGTTACCTCTAGCTGGAGGTAACAAAGGAGACTGCAGTCTCCTTTGCAGTCCTTCTCAGGACGGAAGAGACTGGGTTACCTAGAACTCCGCCATAACTCGGAAATTCCTTGGAAATTAATCATTTTCAAGAGGGCACAACAGCTAGCGAGAAGGTAAGTTACCTCCACTCTCATTCACAGCCATTCTAGATATAGGAGACTGGGTTACCCATAACTCTGAAATTCCTTTGCAATTAAATTTTAAGAGGGCAAAACAGCTAGCAAGAAGATCAGTTACCTTCAGAAAACAAGAGCCTTATTTGAATTTAGCATTGGCTGCAGAGCCATCTTCCCTTTATAATCATTGACTGTACTTTTGATTTAAATAGAACAGTCAAGTATACTGAAGAATTACAGGGCTTTTCGTCTCATTCAGAAGAAGAGAAAGATAATGAGAATTCATCTGATTCTGAATCAGGCCTGGCATCTGGACACAAATCATCATCATCATTATCAGTTTCCACAGATGGGGATAGTGATTCACCCGTATCAACAAGTGAACTATCAGATAGCTCACATCAAATCAATAAAAGTTCAGATGAGCTATCGTCAAGTAACAGTGATATCATAACATGGCGCACAAGGTAGATATGTTTGATAACCCTCTCACTCCTGTGAGTGATCAAGACAGAATTTTTCCTTACAATATCAAGCAAACAAGTGATGAGAATTAAAAAAATTTATATATATCAATTAGAGGATTATATGTATTAGTTCATCCAATACCAAATTCTCAGAACTAACATCATAAGAATTATAAAACAGAAAGTAAGAAGTTAAACAAAACAAATAAGATCTTGGGAGTAAAAGGGTCAAGTTCTTGTTATTTTTTTCTGTACAATAGAGTTCTATCAATTCAAATGCTCTCTAACGAGAAAGACTGGAACTTTTGAAATAAGTAATTTTCATTGATAAAATCAGTGTCTTCTTGTCTCTTTTCCTTGTGCTTTCACTGCATCATCCAGCTACTTAGGGATAAGAATAATCTAATTTATCAACAAGAGTGTGTTATCTTCAGTTTCTATAGTACCAAGTCCTCTTTAGTTAATTAATTTACAAGGAAATGTATAGTAACCAAAAGGTAGAATTTTAACTTGAATCAGATCTTGAGGGTTGAATAACAAGGCTCCTGCTTCTTGTAACAATAAGCAACATTTATTCTTGTCTTACAGGAAAAGTCAACTTTTTCTTACAGGAACAATAAATCCTAAAACGTCAACTGTCGAAAAAGAAAAAGATTGCTGAACTCTGTGATAGACTATCTGATTCAGAGGACATGTTATTATCATCGTCACCATCATCAAGTGAAGCATCACAATCAGAGTGACAGCTAAAGACGGAATTGAAGAAGTCTATTTAATCTTAAGAAGTATTTAATTAGTGTCTTTCCCTTTTGGTTTTGTTTAATTTTCAGAAAGAAAGAATTGGTGGTAGCAGACAGTGTGAGGGTCGATGATCTGTCCATTTTTAAGCTGTATTCTCAGAAGAATCACAGTATTGCTAAAGGTTCTTATCTTAAAGATCCTAGGTTCCTAGCTAGGTGCTTTTGACAAAGTTAGTCACCTGTGGCACCAGGGCTGTGCCAGAACACACCCCTGAATTTAGACATATTTGAGATCCAAAAGCCTGCATATAGCTTTTTTGCATATAGCTTTATGCTGCAAGTAGAAAACAGGGTTGGAACTTGTGATGAGAATTAATCATCATGTTTCCATGATTTTAGGCTGTCCATGCATAATGCAGAGTAATTTCATATTTCCTCTATTAATTTTTTATATACTTTTCAATAAACTTGTAACCTTATTTATTCTGCATCAGATGTCTAACATTGTGTTTGCCAAAGATAGAGACTTACACTGTAGTGTTAATAAGTTACAAGAATTTGGTGTTAGATCAGGATAAAAACTTTCACCCGATGAGTGTAAGTATTCTTATTACCTGTTTTATGGATAATGGGTGTATTTTACTGGGAGAAGTTAAAAACTGGTAGACCTTCATTCGTATTTGAAGTCGAGGAGCTCCGTCGAACTCAACTGAAATGGCTTGGCTTGCTCGAATGAAAACTTTACAAAGCAGTAAAACTTTTCAAGTCTTGTAATGAAACTTTCTAATTCGTCACAACGGGAAAAATAACGTTTCGTGGAAATATGTTGCTTCCGCAAAACCTACTTAAAAATTTTAAAAAAAGGAAGCAGTATTGCATCAAACTTGGCTTAGACATGTCATCTATGGTAAAACCTGGCTGATCCACCTTAGAAAGAAAGTTCTAACTAAGTTTGTGGGAAATAAAAAACAGGTGATTTCGACAAAAAGATTTTCTTAACAAAGACGACAGTTGACGTTTTAGGATTTATTGTTCCTGTCATACTCATTTATAATCTTGAAATGTACATGCTGGAGGGTAAAGTTCGGCGTTTCGCCTTCTAGTGACTGTTAATGCGCGCTACTTTTGTTACATTTTTAGATTTAAAAAGCCAGGACCTGAATACTGCTGAAAGAGTTAGCCCTAATCGCTTTTCATACCAAGGAGTTCATAAAATTTAAAACCTCGAGAGTTATAAGTGAGCGAGTTTGTTTTTCTCTCGGTTTGTTTTTCATAATTTTCGCAGTATGCCGGTATGCTCGAAGGCTGAACTTACGACATAACAACACGCGCTTTGCATGAATTGACCAGGTTAAAAATCTCCGCGACAATAAACTTTGTAAAGAAACTAGATATGCTCAGACGTTTCGTCTCAGCATGGTTCGTTCTTTAAACTTTCGACCATTATTAAACAAATAGAGAAGCCTTTATTGTGCTCTGTTCTCTTGTAAAGCACGCAGGAGGCGGTAGAGTACGAAGGAAGTGTAGTGAAACACGAGATGTACTCGCCGAGTGTTTCTCACCAATTCTTGAGTGCTCAAGCCACTTCCAAAGTGCTTCATAACAGAACAGGGCACAGTCAAGGCTTCTTTATTTGTTTTAAAGGAAAAAATTCGTTATATTCCCTACGCAGTAATTTCAATTTTCAAAACAAACCTTACTTCCTGAGCGAACAACAGTGTCGTCAGCATGCTCTATACTCTCCTAAAGCAGGCTACAATAAAGCAATCAGAATACTCATTAGAGTGATTCAAATGAACTAATTGGTTAAGCACGTCTGAAGCTGTCAAAAATGTTAAACCATCTAAGTTCACAAACTATCAACGCCTACAATTTGCAATAGTTCATAAACTGAAATAGTTCGGTGGGCCGAATATAACACTTTTGCCTTAAGTGTCTTAGTCTTAATACGGAATCTGAACGTGAAAAGTTTAATGAAATCCGGCCGAATTGTGGCTCATAAAAACACAGTTTTTTCTCGTGACAATTAGAAAACAAACGGCGCAAGGCGTGTGTTTTTTGAATGAACGATAGCCGAATTCACAGGGAAAAGATTGCTCGGGATGACAGCGCCGAAAAACTCGGCTGCTGTGAGTGATGTGGCCCACTCAACGCATCGGGAAGAATATCAGAGCAAGCTCTTAGTTCAGTTCACTCGAAGGGCGACCGATGTTATTTCTGAGGTTTGTTGCACTGTAATGACCGGAGATCGCTACGATAAGCTAGTCGCGATAGACCTCAGCATGATCGCTGTTGCTCTGACATGCTCATGATTTGCATGAATTTAAACTTTATATACTATACGAGTGTCAGCTGTGTTTGATTTTTATTGCCTTGCGAAAGTTTATAATCTAAATGAGCGTGAAAACCTTCAAAACTCGGATTGTCCATTTTGTTTTCTTTGCTAGGATTTTCGTCTCCTCGCACGTTAGAATAGTGCAAATAACAGAGCTTGGCATGTTTACAAACCCTTGTTTGGTTCTTCTGTTGCTACTTGCCGGCTCGCTTATTCCGAAATTTCACTTCCAAGAAACGAAAAAAGGGTAGACAAAGTACAAATTGGCAGATGACGTGACAGCTTTGGCTCAGCTCCGTGCTCTACACTCTGGTAGAACACGCCCTTTCAACCAATGACAGCGCGTGTTATTTCCGAACTTCATTGCTGATTTTCACGTGACATCATCAAATTCGAAAATCCAAAAATACGGGGCAACGAAAATTTTTATCCTCATCAGGCATATGGGGGTCTAAATTTGTATCTGTTTTCAAATTTTTAACACAAAAGCGTGCTTGGTTTGGAAACCAAAGCAGTTTGAAGTTCAGAGTTATGGTGGTTGCGTGACACAAAGCTCCGATTGCGTTTATAGACCTATCTGGCGTTAATTGTTAGGAAAAGTGTTTTCGGACGTTTTTTGGTTTAGTTTAGATAATCAGTGGGCTAGATAGCCAAAGTAAGTTCCAGAAGTCCTCCACTATTCCCGGCCGCCATGTTGGCGGACCAAAGATAATCACCAGCATGGCGGCTCCATACTTGACTCTGTAACTTTGCGCCAAACATTTCGACGAACATCTTAAGTTTAGGAAAACAAAGAGACCTAAAACTTGGAGAAGTGCTTCCTTAACCTTTCTCCTATAACACTGCAATTTCTGAACCTTATCCACTAAATTTCTCTCTCTCGATGTGTAACAATGAAAACGATCAATATAACACTTGATAAACACGAGTCACTCTAGATATCAAAAAAGTTGTTTATTGATTTTGGCAACAATTGATCACGATAGCTGAACGCTTCCGAAGGAAGATGAAAATAGAACTGATTACTCAGAATATAAATTAGAATCACTCGACTGGTGTTATTCTCGTGGCAAAAACACAAAAGGAAAACAAAGCAATAATTGAGCACTAACACTGCTATCGATTTCGAGTTTCAAAAGATGTCCTTAATACTACATAGTCACTTTCTAACTTAATGTAATATTTCACCAGGTTACTGCCGTAATTTGAAGTTTACCAGTTTTCCTAAACCTGGCTACAGATTGGAGAATCACACGGTTCGAACTATTGAAATATTCGACGAGGATCTCTGCATGGCGCAATGCTACCTGGAACCTAACTGCGTCAGTTATAACTTCCATACGATAACACAGCTGTCTGGAACACACAAGTGTGATCTGAATAACGCTACTATTGAACACGATAAAGATCTGGTGAAAAACGAAAGTTATATTTACCGCGGTGCTGAGGTGAGGACGACGCTTATTAGCCAAGAGAATGAAATTCTTTGTCTCGTCGAAGCTTCTTAACAAGATCAAGGATTCCCTAGCCTATCCCCCTCCTCTTAATTCTCCTTCCAACAACCAAAAGAAAGGTTATGATACTTACGCGTTTAACCTTTGAAATAGAGAATTGGGAGAAGCATATTATTTTTTATTATTATTAATTTAATATCCCCACCTCCGGAGTTGTTGTGATACATTTTGAGGATTTAGACACATTTTTTTTCTCGCTCTGAACAGTGCCACGTGAATAAAGAGAACCTATGTTCAACGCAGATATTTGCTTAAAAAATAAGCCAGCTTGCGTAGAACATATGGGCATATAAATGAGAGCACACACGAGGACCATTACAGAGGACCTATAGATTTGACAAACCTGCATAACATTCAGAACTTGCAAACACGAACGCATGCGCAGAAGGTAAACACAAAAATTAAAGTGCTCCTATTCGTTTTGTTCGTAAGAATGCTTGTGCCAGAAATCCTTGCAAGAATAATGCAACATGCCAAGCTGGGTTTACAGACAGAGGTTATCAGTGTTTATGTGTTCTTGGATCTGGATTTGAAGGCCATGATTGTGGTGAAGGTGAGCAATCCTCTGCAATTTGTTTCCAATCAGTAAAATGATAAATTTGTTCTCCAATCTCTGCTTTCAGCCTTTCTTTTTTTTTTTTTTTTTACCATTTTTACAATGAACAACTGCTGAAGCGGATATCAGTAAAACTGGATACAAATTCTACGCCAAGGTCAGAGATGATACCATCATTCGATAAATTTATCACCAATTTATCATGCTTTTTTATTTCACCTTCCCAGTTTTATGAATTGAATACAAACCATAACAAAACAAAACACAAGATAAAGCATAAAAATAGGTTTTATTTAAATGGTTCTTTCTTAATGTTCTAGACTTGAACGAATGTACTGACGGAACACAGTTGTGATAAGGATGCTGAGCGTAACAATACCTTGGGATCTTACAAGTGCACGTGCAAACATGGATTTCATGGAAATGCAACTAACTGCACAGGTAACTGTTTGTAACAGATCATGCTATCTTATCTCACCTTACTTTTCGGAGGTGACTTTAAAATAAAAACAAATCAAGAAATACAAACAAACAAACATTAGCAAAACACAAGAAAGAACAAAAAAACAGGTTTCATTTAAATGATACGTCTTTTTTAATGTTCTAGATTTGGACGAATGCTCTGACGGAACACACAACTGTGATGTAAATGCTGATTGTAACAATACCTTGGGATCTTACAAGTGTTCTTGTAAAGATGGATTTCATGGAAATGGAACTAATTGCACAGGTAACTGTTTGTAACACATTATGCTTTCTTATCTCACCTTACTTTTCTGAGGTGACTCTAAGATAAAAATAAATCAAGAATAACAAACATTAACAAAACACAAGACAGAAACATAAAGAAAGGTTTCATTTCCATACATTTCTTCCATAATGTTCTAGATTTGGACGAATGCACTGACGAAACACACACCTGTGATGTGAATGCTAAATGTAACAATACCTTGGGATCTCACAGCTGCACGTGTAAAGATGGATTTCAAGGAAATGGAACGAACTGCATAGGTAACTGTTTGTAAAATATCATACTATCTCATTACACTTACTGCATCCATTTTCCCATTCCCTAATTTTGTCTTTCGCTTTAACTATCCTATGCTTGGCGGAGTGGCAAACAAGCGTGTAGTTCGTTCCGGTAACGTGGTGTTCATCCTCACGATAGTGCTTTACGATAAGCTTCGTCGCCCAGTTTCATCTCGGAAAAATTATTGGAAATCGCATATCGTAAGGTAGACTTTAAGTAAACCTTAGTAGACCATCGCTCCGAAGAAGACCATCAAGATCGACTTTCGGCGTCAGCTCGGGCAATTTACTCCTCTTCTGTAAGGCTCAATTATTTTAATAGCTAGGAACTCCTCGGCGAAATCAGCCCGCTGCGTTTCTCTAATTATTTGTACTTCAGCTTAATTTCGTTTGGAGAAAAAGGACCGTCTCACCGTCCTTTCTCTTTTGTGCGGCACTTCACGACAAATCTTATCATACACAATGTCACTCGCGTGAGTTGTACCAACTTGACCGATTTTCAGGTTTTAGTTTCCACCTGTTATCTTCGACGACTTCAACAGAAACGAAACTGTGTGGATCAAAGACTTCTCAGTTTTGACCTCTAGACCCTCCTCGATCTTCACTTGTGGCCACTCGTTTTCTGCTTGAGAAAGAAATTGCGGAACTTGCCACCGAAGTTGAATCGCCACGATGTATTTAACGTCCATTCCACGGGAACATATGTAAGCTGGTAACTTCAATCGAAGTGTTGTGATAAGCGTGAAAGGAGCAAGCTTGGTCTTGGATGCAATCATGAAGACTTGTAATACTCTTTATCGTAGGAACATCTTACATAGCTTAATATCCCATGAACACCCTTTATGCTTCCATGAAAGTGAGGGCGCTGCTCGATCTCTCCGCTTTTGACTGCCTTAGACTTCTAAGAAATGTGATATTTCAAGATCTCCAGCTATAGAAACCATCGTTCGGCTTGCACAGCGATCTCTTGAGTAACAGTATTATCCCATCTCCCATTTCCCACAAATCTTGAGTAAGGATCTTTGCTTGGACTATGAACGGATTGGCGAGACCTAATGGATCAAGTATTTCGGTTACTATCCCCACGATAGACCTTCAACTGGAGTTGTGATTCGAGGAGAGAAAACATCATTCAGAGCATTCCACAGAATTCCGAAGGTTTTTGTCACTGGCAATGTGTCGTGGCTAAGGTTAATTTGAGTGCTCTGAGTTTCTGTGGACTGACTGGTAGCACCTCCGGAGAGTAAATTAACTATATACGAGCCCTCTCTCCTACTTTATTCCGCAGATCTTGAAGTTCTTTGAACAAATGGATTGCACTGTCAAAGAATTGTATCTGCATATGTATGTTGACTTCTGGACAGTTTCGGAGGCATGAGATAAATTCTCTCTGTTATTTCTTGGTGTTTCCTGAGACACAAACTGGGCACAAAGCGAAGCGGATGCATCTCCAAACACGAAGTCATTTCCATCGGGATTTCGATTAACTTCCAAATTCTTTCGAAGAAATCCAAACATCGAACGGTCTAGAGGCGAGACGTTTATTTACATTTCACTGACGTCACATGCAATGGCTACTTGAAAACGGCGAAAGAGTAGAAGGCCTTCGAACAGATCTGCTTCAAGCTTGGGGTCCGGTGGAATTTTATCGTTTAAAGATGTATCTTGAAACTTTGCACTGGTATCAAATACGGTTCTGGTCTTTGTAATGGACCTCTCAGGACGGCATACAGAGAGGTGAGGGAGGTACCACTGACGTTGTGGCTCCTTTTCGGGGTAAAATGCAACAACGTTCTGATAGTCTTCTCCTAGTGAATATTGTCGATTTAAAAGCTTATCTGTATTTCTAAGGCGGCTGAAGGCCATCTCTAGTTGTCCGGTAACGACAGACGGTCATGATTATAAGGTGTGGCAACTTGGTAACGCTCTCCATCGTGAACGAATGAGACTAGAACCTTATCAAGGACTATCTCCTCCTCTCTTTTTATCGGTATTGCATAATTTTCGTCGACACCTAAGGTGTCAACTTCCTAGAACCGCTTCATAGGATCATTCAGTTCGTTAAATGCCTTTGATCTGCTTAAAAAAGGTACTAGCGAGATTAGTTCTATTCGTCTTCCTCGATGCTTTTCCTTCTGGACAGCCAAAATTCGACCACCCCAATGGCCTTAGTCTAGCGATTGCTTCTCCTCCAGTTTTTCTCTCAAGTCAACCTTTGCAAAATGAAGATCATCTGGTCTTGACCAATATGAGATTAGTTGCTGGTTCAGGAAAGTATGAGAGTATCATTCGCCTCCTCGCATGCTTCTTCTAACAAAGCCATCGCTTTTTCTTTCTTCAACTGGCTTATTTCTCATTCTCGTGGACTTTTTTTCTGCGTCGCATGCCTTAATAAGCTGAAGGGAATTATGCCAGTTCGCATTTCTGGCTCGGGGACATGCGAGGGTTTTTCTTGCTTAAACTTCGAGAACATTTTCGTGAAATTCTTTAACAGGTGAATAACCATTGGATATCAATGACGCTAAACCAAAGCAACTGTTTTTTCTTGCGACATGCGTCTCTTTAATCTGTGAGTTACCTTAGCATTGCTATTGCGATGTAGACCTTTCACTATAGAACGAGAGATAAATGACGTAGAAAGAGCGCAAATTTCAAAACAGTAAACTCGATTTATAGTTCAAGAAAAAGTGGGCTTCGATCGACAAGAGAGCGAAGGTTTGTGATTTTGGATGGTTTTTCGATAAGCTTAAACGACAATAAGGTAAAAGTGGGTAATTTTCTGAACGACACGGAAAACTTTTGGGCTCAGTGAAATCGCAGAGGGAGTTTCATAGAGAGACAATAGCCGTAATATTGTAATTTTTTGGCTCGATCGACAATGGCGCTAAAATATTTTCGAATACACACTGTTGATGATGTCGCAGATAGTTTTTTGTTCGTCTCGTGCAATGATAGCACGAAAGAGCGTGATTTTTAGTAATACGCAAAACGGGCTGAATGGTTAGGAAGTTGTAGAAAGATTTAATTGTATGGCTCGTGCAACAAGAGCGCGAAAATTTATGATTTGAATGTTTAGTAAGTTGCAAAGGGAGTTCCTTGTGCGGCTTGGGCAACAGTAGCTCGAAAGAGCGTGAGTTTTTTAAAGACGTAATGGATGCGAAAATGTTTAGGCTCGTTGAAGTCGCAGAGGGAGTCATGGTTGGATCCAGAGACGATTATGGCACAATAATTTTTATAAATGTGAATGTTGGTGAAGGCGCAAAGATAATTTCTTGTTTAGCTCGCGCCATAACAGCGCGAAAGATCATTTTTTTTCTTTCAAAGGGACGCGAAGAAGTTCGAACAAACTTCTTAGCACGAGTGACAGTGATGCGAAAGTTTTTGAGTTTTGAATGTTAATGCTCGTATGACAGTACTGTAGCGCGAGGGTTTTTTAAATTTTGAATGTTAAATAAGTTGCAGTGTGAGTTAAGTAGAAAGATAAGGAAAATGCATTTACAGAAATTTCAGAACAGTCCTATCCTCAAAACTCTCCTCAAAGTTTAGGCCTTTTTACTATAAAAAGATACAGGGTTTTTCATCTCGGTGGTGACCAACCTGAAATTTCGGTATCGGAATCGAGAGCAGAAGCAGAAGAGTAGGCCAGGCACGCTGCGAGATTCTAGGTATGTCTAAAGACAAAGTTTGATACCAGGAAAGAGAAGAAAGAAACTCGTGGCACAGGGGAAGAAGTGGTTTTCTCTTTAGCTTCTTTTTAATTCAGGCCACTATTTTGCATTGAGGGAGACACCACAGGGATATGTTTATTCATCCATTCTGTAAAAGATAACGGTTTACGGTTTGTGTCATCTATTGACGTCAAGATTCGTTCCATCTTCCTCTTTTTTAAAGCATTTTTTAATGTATTCTTGTCTACTTTGCACAATCTGTTGAGCATTCTTCATCTCATTTCTGTCTCTTAAGATTTCACGAATCTTTTTATCACGAATGGTAAGCAAACTTCTTACTGCCATCCAAACTTTATTCCTGATAATTTTTTCCTTCTGCTGCACACGGTCAACCTTGCTATCAGGGCGCTTTCTTGACATTTCCCGTCCTCTCCACTTTTCGGAAAAAGCGTCCCGTGGGCCAGGAAGCGTGCATTTAGATTGATTTATTTGTTCCTTCAGCGCCTCTGACTCCTACTGATTTAATCTTTCATTGGATCTTAGGCGATGTATCAACCAAGTATTCTTACTTGTTAGAGTAATTCTCAGGAGATTCTTCTTCTTTATCTTTTTCTGCCGAATTTACAGGAATCTTTTTCCTAAGTGGTAGTAGGCATTATAAACAATTCCTACTACATTTTTGACAAATTCTTACTAGTATCAAAATTCTCCCTTTTATTTTGTGTTTATTGCACAGGGTTTACAGCTGTGTTTACAAATCTTGGTACGAGTGGAAGGAAAGGTTCAGAGTCGATTGGTAGTTACTACATAGGTCAGGATCATGACGGACAAGTTGCAGTGTCCAGCGGTATTCAACAGTGGACTGTGCCACATACTGGTGAATACAGAATAGAAGCAATAGGAGCTTCCGGGGGATACGGTGAGGACAGTATCATCAAGAACGGAGGAAGAGGGGCACGGATTATTGGACACTTTAATTTGACAAAAGATGAGATCATACATGTGCTTGTTGGTCAAAAAGGGAAAAGAGGAGATCGCGACAAACAAACTGCTGGAGGCGGAGGAGGTACATTTGTAGTCAAAGAAGACAACACGCCTTTGATTATAGCTGGAGGTGGAGGGGGAATTAAAAATATGTCAGAGCAACATCTGGGATGTGATGCGTCTAAAAACACCACAGGGAATGCAGGGGACAACTCGCCATTGGGTTCGGGGGGAAGCAACGGACATGGAGGACGTACAAATAGTAAGCTTTCTGGTAGGTGGAGAACTTTCTTTTCACAAATACTAAGATTTTCGTTGCATTTCACTGCCATCCTTCAGGATCTTCAACCAAATGAGAGAGTCAGTCGCTAATAATTAGATTTTGAATGATTAATAAAATCAATAGTTATCAAAATTATTTTGAAGTTTTTCTTTCATAATACTTTGGAAACGCCTCATACAAGCAGTTAAAATTCTGTCAAATTTGGCTTTTTCCTTTTTTGAATTTCCTGCACATTTGTCCAATTCTCTACAGCGATCCGCGAATATACGGCAGGAGAAGACATCGAAAAAGGCTGACAGGGCTTCTTATTCGCTAATTTTGAACCTGGATTAAATAGAAACACTAAACAGAGAGTCGAAGCGAACCCTAAAGCTGACTTGTCCTCACAAGCTTTTCATTAACAATATCCATGCAATAATTAAGCCTCAAAAAATAAAGAAATAAACCTCGTTGCGAAACACTGCAATCTTTGTTTGATCGCAATAACTCAAATTTATAGGTGTTATTTGTAAGAGAACTACTGATCACTTTTTGATTGTATTATAGGTGGCGGCGGCGGCGGCGGCGGCTTCCACACAAATGGACACGATTCAACGTCTTGTGGTGGGGGGAAAGGAGGTTTCGGATATCATCAAGGGGGAGAGGGTGGAAAGCATTGGGGTGGGTTTGGAGGTGGCGGTGGTTTTTGTGCACCAGAGAAGGGACCGGGCGGAGGTGGAGGTTATTCTGGGGGAAGTGGTGGGGCTAATGAACATATTTCCTGTGGGGGAGGGGGAGGTTCTTTTAACAATGGGACAAGTCAGTGTAATGAATGTTGCTATAATAGCGCTGGTCATGGCTGGGTAAACATCACATTTTTCCAATGAAGAGCACATGACAACACTTTTGTTAACGTTTAGTGGTAAACTACTTTCGCTTAAACGTGTCCTTAATGCAAATACAGTTTTCAATTGGCAAATAAATAAACAGGTAAAGAATTTGCACTTGTTCGTATTTTGCACAAAAAAAAATTTGTGAAGTTGGTTCTCTATATTCATATACATTTCAATAACTGTATTTCCTCGAATAAGCATCTGCCAGGCGCTTACTTATAATTTTGGCTAAAGGGAGGGGCGCTTATCGGAAGAGGGATGCTTATTCGAGGGGGGGCGCTCGTAAGGAATCTCTTAACCTGTACTAATTCCACTGTTGCTGAAGCTTAAAAAGTTCTATATAAAGTGGCAATACAAATTGATTTTATAGGCAAGGGAGCAGATACCAGGTCTGTCCCAATTGTGCTCGCAAAATGCTGAAAAGTTGCTCTCTGAAATGTCAAAAAGTTGCTAAAAAATTGCTTATATTAATAAAGTTGCTACTTAAATTTCTTGAAATTTTGTTTGTAGACAGTAATAAAAAGCTTTATTTTTCGTTCTACACAATAATTTCTAACATCCGAAAAGAAATAAAGCTTGAAACTTAGCTTTAAGAAGTTACTTACAAATATCGGTGTAATTTAAGAATAATCTGGAAAATAAAGAAACGAAGATGGATTTTTTTTGGGCTTCATTTCAGCCAATTATCCGTTCTAATTATATCAGATAAGGATCGCAATAGGCCTGCGAAACGATGTCAAGTAATAGGTTATGTGAAGTTTTTTTCGTGTTTGATATGTGCTCTAAACCTTGATTATGTTAAAAACATTCTCAGAAAGGCAAAAATTGCTCGAGTTTGCTAGAACAGCAAAAAATTGCTTCAGACGCTAAAAGTAGCTCAAATGTTGCTGAGTGCAAACGAGAAAGGCCTAGTAAGCGCTTATTTGGGGGAGGGCGCCTATTTGAGCGTGGGAGCCGTCTCAGTTATCAGACTAGATCAATTCGGATCGGATTCACTTGCCATTAATCAGGGTACTAGCGCTTTTAAATACTTCATGTGATGGCACGTTCAAATTACGCTAAACTTTATTCACTTTTTAGATAGTCATTTTTCTGCCAAAGTCTAGAATAACTTTTCAGGAGGCTCTTGTACTCTTTTACTAAAGCGGGGGAGAATACTATACTTGGCATAAAGAAAGGACGTTTGTGCCTGATAACGACTAGAAATTAATTATCTAGAAATTTTTTCTTGCTTCCAAATGCACAAAAACCTTGGAAGAAAGCTTTGTGAGAGCTACAGAGCTACAGAAAGGATCTCTCAGTTTTAGTGTTGATCAAATAGTACTTACTCATAACCTTACTTTAAGTCATTATGATAACATGTTAATAACTATAGTTGATTTAAGTCAATAAAGTGATTTTTCGCTGTTAAAAGTTGTTTTGTTGATTTCAGAGCTCTGGTTATGACAGGAGGTTTGAGTTTGAAAAATTGAAAAATGGGTGTTGAGACTTGGGTGGTAAGTCCCAATGAAATTCCTTTGCAATTAGTAACTTTCAAAGAAGCACAACAGCTACTGTAGCTAGAAGTTACCTATAGCTGGAGGTAACAAAGGAGACTGCAGTCTCCTTTGCAGCCCTTCTCAGGACGTAAGAGACTGGGTTACCTAGAACTCTGCCCTAACTCGGAAATTCCTTGGAAATTAATCATTTTCAAGAGGGCACAACAGCTAGCGAGAAGATAAGTTACCTCCACTCTCCTTCACAGCCATTCTAGATATAGGAGACTGGGTTACCCATAACTCTGAAATTCCTTTGCAATTAAATTTTAAGAGGGCAAAACAGCTAGCAAGAATATCAGTTACCTTCAGAAAACAAGAGCCTTATTTGAATTTAGCATTGGCTGCAGAGCCATCTTCCCTTTATAATCCTTGACTGTACTTTTTATTTAAATAGAACAGTCAAGTATACTGAAGAATCACAGGGCTTTTCGTCTCATTCAGAAGAAGAGAATGATAATGAGAATTCATCTGATTCTGAATCAGGCCTGGCATCTGGACACAAATCATCATCATCATTATCAGTTTCCACTGACGGGGATAGTGATTCGCCCGTACCAACCAGTGAACTATCAATAGCTCGATAGCTCACATCAAATCAACAACAGTTCAGATGAGCTATCGTCAAGTAACAGTGATATTATAACATGGCGCACAAGGTAGATATGTTTGATAACCCTCTCACTCCCATGAGTGACCAAGACAGAATTTCTCCTAACAATATTATACAATATCAAGCAAACAAGTGATGAGAATTTAAAAAATTCATATATCAATCAAAGGATTATATGTATTAGCTCATCCAATACCAAATTCTCAGAACTAACATCATAAGAATTATAAAGCGGAAAGTAAGAAGTTGAACAAAAAAAAATAAGATCTGGGGAGTAAAAGGGTCAAGTTCTTGTTATTTTTTTCTGTACAATAGAGTTCTATCAATTCAAATCCTCTCTAATGAGAAAGACTGGAACTTTTGAAATAAGTAATTTTCATTGATAAAATCAGTGTCTTCTTGTCTCTTTTCCTTGTACTTTCACTGCATCATCCAGCTACTTAGGGATAAGAATAATTTAATTTGTCAACAAGAGTGTGTTATCTTCAGTTGCTATAGTACCAAGGTCTCTTTAGTTAATTAATTTCCAAGGAAATGTATAGTAACCAAAAGGTAGAATTCTAACTTGAATCAGATCTTGAGATTTGAAGAACAAGGCTCCTGCTTCTTGTGGCAATAAGCAACATTTATTCTTATCTTACAGGAAAAGTCCAAGGAAAAAAGCTCAAGCAAGTTCAAGAAAAAAGATTGCTGAACTCTGTGATAGACTATCCGATTCAGAGGACATGTTATCATCATCGTCACCATCATCAAGTGAAGCATCACAATCAGAGTGACAGCTTAAGACAGAATTGAAGAAGTCTATTTAATCTTTAGAAGTATTTAATTAGTGTCTTTCCTTGTCAGTTTTGTTTAATTTTCAGAAATAAAGAATTGGTGGTAGCAGTCAGTGTGAGGGTCAATGATTCATCCATTTTTTAAGCTGTATTCTCAGAAGAATCACAGTATTGCTAAAGGTTCTTATCTTAAAGATCCCAGGTTCCCAGCGAGGTGCTTTTATCTTTGACAAAGTTAATCACCTGTGGCACCAGGGCTGTGCCAGAACACACCCCTGAATTTAGACATATTTGAGATCCAAAAGCCTGCATATAGCTTTATGCTGCAGGTAGAAAACAGGATTGGAACTTGTGATGAGAATTAATTTTGCATGTTTCCATGATTTTAGGCTTTCCATGCATAATTCAGAGTATTTTCATATTTCCTCTATTAATTTTTTATATACTTTTCAATAATCTTGTAACCTTATTTATTTTTTTGCATCAGATGTCTAATACTGTGTTTGCCAAAGATAGAGACTTACACTGTAGTGAAGTGTTTAATTGGATTGATCAAATTTTAGTTTTTATTTAAATATTAGTACTATACATACTATACATGAAGCACAAATGTGTAGTTGGTAAATACTAGTATATCCTGGATACTTACATTCATATGACTTATGGTTTATTGAATTTGAACAAAATACTTAATCAGTGAAACTTTAACCCTTTAACTTCCAAGATGTGATTGTCAATTCTTCCCTCTAGCTGCTAAACATTTCCTTGTTAATAAGTTACAAGAATTTGGTGTTAGATCAGGATAAAAACTTTCACCTGATGAATGTGAGTATTCTTAGTACCTGTTTCAGGGATAATGGGTGGATTTTACGGGGAGAAGTTACATGTCCATCACTTCTAGGAGTTAAAGGGTAAAGTACTCATTTGCTCCAATTAAGAGGGGGGGGGCTGCAGTTTACGTCCCCTTAAAATATGGAAGCTGGAAGGGATTTGATCGGTGACAGAACTGTCAACACATCATCATTTCTTTGTAATATTATTATGTTGATAGAACCCTGCTCAAAACTGTTTTGCTTTCCCATCCCCATTGCAAATTCGAGATTGGGGAAGGTGGTGATTTACAATATCATTTACAAAATAATTGCATTTCCATTTTTGCTATTTTCAAAAGCAATAGGTAACCTTGACTTCCAGTAAGTTAGTTTCCAGTAATATATTCCTTTGGTGCTTTTCAGACAAAAGTTGTGGCTTTGCTGTTCATGAAACACACATCAAAGTGCACTTTAAGATAAAGAGCTGTACCTCAGTCTTATAAAACAGCAATGGTAACCACATCTCACAAAGTGGAGAAATTTAAAACATGTTGTTTTCATCTTGGTGCTGATCTACCAGACTGCCCCTGACGACCCTGACTTGAGTTTTGAGTCTTTCCCAGAGGTGGTTTCTTTGCTTGGGATAGCTTACTCTTTCCTTTGTCAGTTTTACCTCTAAAGAGTCTGTTTACATCTAATGAGTTGAAAGGAAGATTTGTGGCAGACTTATTTCTTTCTGTTGAATTTGGCTTCTGTTGGGCCTTTTGTTCCACATTGGCCATGTCAATGGCTAATCTAGTAGGTGCATAGAGATTGAACCATTGCTGTAAACAGAAGAAATGATTTCCCATCAGTTTCCACCAAGTTTCTGCAGAGATACCAACCCTCAGAAATAAATAAGGAATTTTTTAACTGCAAAAACCATGAACACCAAAAGAGAGAGTCTGCTCTGAAAACTTCATTGCAAGTTGCTCTTCCTTAAGCGAATGCTAGTCTAATGGAAGTAACCTCTGTGCACTTCCAAAATTTTTTGAAACTGTTTCTAGTACACATTTATCATAAAATTCAAAGTTGAGAGAATTAGAATTTCTGGTGTCAACAGTCTTTCCCAACAACACATCATATTTACCACTCAGTCCATGGGCTCAAATCAGGACCTTCCAATCCAGTGCATTAATCTTCAGTCAATAATAAGTGATTGATTAACTTGATACAAAATCACAAATTAAGTTATGCCTACCTTTGTTTCTGGACTTAGACCTGTTGCAGTAAAAAGATATTGCCAGAGAGGAAGGCCAAGATGTACTATCATCATTCTGAAATAATCAGTGAAAGATGAAGCAAGATACCACCATTCCAGTGAACGATCAAGAAACCAGATCTCAGGTTGTCCTGTTGTTACTCCTGAGAAAAGAGGATATTGTGACGAGGATTGACAAGTTTTTACTTCTCTATTTTGGGCATATACCAAAAATCCACTAATTTTGAGAACTAGCAAACTTGCAGAGAAGAGACAGAAAAAATGATGGATATTCCAATACCAAGAACTTAGTTGACATAAAAGAATGTCTATGTTTTGGTTCTATTTTATCCTTGGTTCAAATTTTATTTTCCATTGTTTCAAACTTGTTATCATACATTACAATACACAAAAACAAAAGAAAACAAAATTTGAACCAAGGATAAAATTGAACCACAACATCTATGTCAACCATTTGGCAGTTTGGAAAAATCTACGATTTTATTTGAACTGTCCAACTTCACCCACCAGCTTTGATGTCTTTGTAAACCAAACAGACTTTACCATAGCTGTCACATGGATCCAGCTCAAAAACCTTGCAGCGATTATCAAAGTGTGGTTTTATATGACCTGGTGAGGAATTGAAAACAAAGCAAAGAACATCATCTGATGATCACTAGCACTTCTCAGTTTTAGCTGGGACAGATCTTTATTATTGACAAAATCATGGTATTTAAGGTCCTGTTTCAGTGGTAGATCTAGGAGGGTAGGATGAGTGGGGTTCAGATCCCTCTCCACCAGATCTGTCACATTTTTGAAAGAAAGCTTTTTGCAATGTGGGATCACATATTACTTCTTACCAAATATATTCACTTAGATAGAATCATTCCTTTGCTTATATATGTTAGGGTCCAACATAAAGAAAAATATTTATTATTATTATTTTTTTTAATCAAAGGATGCTTCCCCCCCCCCCTCCCTCTGTCAAATTCCTGGATCTGTCCCCATGTTTGGTCAATACCTTGGCCATCTTCTTCATCTGAGTCAGCATCTAAATCAGCCAATGAGGGTTTTTCATCACTAACAGATGATGCTTTAGACAGCAACACTAGACCTGTCACAGGATTCAGCTCCATTTTTCCCAGTGGTAAAACACTCCCTGATAAAATGGAGAAAATAGATATGAAACAACGAATCAAACAGTCAAAATGTTCAGTGATGATTCTAAGAAGTCTTACAAGCCAAGTGACCCAAAACTCTTTATGACCAAAGTTTCCTGCTTCCTGCAGCCTGTGAAGGCACCAGGAAACATTTACTTTTACTCGCATTATTTTTTCAAAGATGCATTGTCAATAATTACCATCAAACTTGATGTTCCACTGAATTAACAGTCCATTTGTTGTGAGGAAAAAACTCTTCAAGTCCTCTGGCAAGATACACATGTTCTTCTATCAAATATACAGTGTTGAGAATGGCATGTAATCGTTTTTTGCTACTCATAACACACCGGTCAATATAATGTAACTTCACACGATAATGTTTATTCAGAAAATGAATTATTACCTGCTCCCAAGTAAAGATAATGTGTTTTTCCGCTGGTTGTCTATCAAGTAGACGGACATCTGTTACACCTGGCTTCTTTTCTAAAAAAAAAAAAGTAGAATAGCGGCATATTGACAGGTGAGCTTATTTCAGATTTTACCTTGAGTTTCATTAAAATTAAATCAGAGATTTGCATAAAAGTTTCTTACCTGTTTTCTGTTAAAGGAAGTGTAAATTGAGTATTTGAAAAGAGGACTTACCAAGCGATCGAACTACTCCCAAAGTCATTGAATCAAATAATTCCCTTACTCGACTTTGTTCACTCGAGGACGCCATCTTGAATCCCAGGGCAACAGTTTTGGTTAGTTTTTGTTTCCAATAGGGAGGAGAGGGTAGTGGAAGGATTATCGCGTTTGTTTTATGTGATGCTATTTATTTATAATTTTTGATATTTATGAAATGCAAAAATTCAATTTTTTCTGTTTTAAGTCACACTAGAAAATTAAAAATTAAAAAAGCAAACAAAACAAGTGAGGAACAACAATTAAAAACAGGCCTTACCTACCTGCCCATGTTCACCTCAGAGAGAAAAATAAGCCGAGAAACTGGGAAAGAGGAGATGAGTTTTGTTCAAAATGGCGGCAAATTTGGACGAGTCGCTCGAAGACAACATTGATCAATTACCCGAAACTGCAAATCCTGTACCACCCAGAAGCTTTACTGTAGAAAACGAAAATTTAACCAACGAAGAAGAACAGTTATCTGAGACTGAAGAGCACGAAGACGAAGAAAAAAACCCTCTTTTGGAGCTGAAAAAGTGCAAAGAGTGGCTGCAACAGCAGAAGATAAACCATGAGGCTGAATTACTTGTCCGTGAGTTTATTTCAACAACATTTGGTGTTAAATAAGCTTCTATGATTCATGAAATGCCGAAAAATTCGGACAGCTCTACCACATGAGCGTTAATCAGTGTACAGCCATCCAAATGGACTGTAGCCGAAATGGAATGGGCATGTACATTTCACGTAGACCAGTCGATTTCCCGGCTGATTAAAAATTGTAAAGAGCAAGTGCATCCACTTAATAGAAGTTTAAATTTCGATTAAATATCAGAGCTATCAATCAGCATGAAAGTACAAGGAAACAAAGGAAAGGAGGCAGTCTGATTCTCGTGGACGCTAAGCTGTTTTCAGGAAATTGTTTGTGTAACCGGTTGATGTCGGCGGCTTAAAAGAGGGTTGACTGAAATTGATTCAGATGGTTATTTAACCTTTTACAGGAGGTGATGGCATCTTAAATTGCACGTGCAGATGTGGCAGATTAGAGTGCTTTGAAACATACATAAACTTCTGTGAGGGGAGGGGGGAGGGGCTGAGCTTCCCTCTTATTTTCACTCAGAGGAGCTGTAGCCTCCCCTGCCCCCCCTGCTCCGCTGCCTATGGTGTGGTATTGGAAGGGATTAACCAGAGGGCCATGAACTAAATTGGCTGAGTAATGATAACTAGATAAGTAGATAGCCAAGCTGGTTGTGACTCTGTTGTCATACAATCAGACAATCACTTTTGACATTTTTTTTCCTTCTTTGCCATGATCAGCAATGCAATTTTTCAAAACTGCACCTAATGGTAATCTCTTATAATAGTCAATTAGTGGTATGTTTCATGTTGCAATTCATCATGAATAATTTTTACAACTAAGGATAGAAATTAATATTAAGCTTTTCTCCACAACCATCAGCATTTGATCTGAATTAATTTCTTTTGTGAAGGACGCCTCCAGCAATGTGAGGACCAACAGCCTTCTACAAGTGTGTCATCACAGTCTGATCTGTATGAAAGGTGTGTACAAATAAATCTCTGATTGAACAGAATTAAGGAGCCATGTGCAGGTTTCAATTTGACATTCAAGCTTACCTGTAAGCTTAGGACATAATTTTAAAGAATATTTGTACAGGATTTTAATTTCATAATTTAAAGCATCTGTGGCTGAATCTTGATAATGGCAACAAGTTTTTGAATTTTGGTTTGTCTGATAGTATATTTATATCAAATTTGGATTGATACATCAGTTGCTGAGTTGATAGTTTTTTAATATATATCTAATCACATGATCAGCTGTGCTTGGTGTATAGGGATACGCTGTTATAGAGTTAATAGTTATTTTTTTTTGTCTCTCTCTCTTTCCTTTTAACTTTTTTTTGTTAATGTTTGATATAATTATAGGATATCTAAGTTACAAGATCAGCTGTATTCCCTTTCAACTGCTCGCTCATACAAGAAGCTTCTCCTGGACAGGTCAGTTACCTTCGATCTTAACAGTTATAATTTTTTTATGTTTTAGTGCCTTCCTTCAGAGGGAAAGGAGTTGTTCTGAATGCTGTGTGTTTGTTTTGTTGTCTTGTAGGCTTCTGTGTGGTGACCGGTTGATAAAAAAACTGTTCCCAGATGTTGTGACAGACTCACCAACAGAAGAACAAACTGAAGAAATGAGGTAATTATTTATAACGTATAAAAATTTTAAGGAAGAAAATAAAGGGATCAGTTAATCCCATAGGCTTTTAAGATTAGAAAATTGGTCGTGAAGAATGGATCCATGAGGAAATGCTTTTAAAAGCTTTGAAATGTGAGGCACAAAACCTACAAATTAAATTAATTTGATTTTTGGTTTATTTCCCAGTTTAATTCACACCCAATATGAAATACCCCTTGTAAGAAAGATGACTTTAATCCTTTACATCCTAACATCAGTATGCAAGTTCTCCATACTGTTCTCTCAACATTTCCAATGGTACTTACCAGGAGAATTTGTCAACCAATCAAGAGCTTCTTGAATTTGTGATCATTAATTCTTTATTCTTTTGACCGAAATTTGTTATTCAGGGGTGATACTGTTGGAAGAAATAAGATGCTTTTAGTTTTAGGTGCTGATTGACATATACCTTGTGCATGAGAATATATCTTTTTTGAAAACAAAAACTTGCTCAAATTTGAATTTGGTAAGGTGTAACAAAATGTGGTGCCTTTTTAAGGACCTTATATTGAGTTTGTTAGCTCTGTAATGTTGTGTGGCAGAATGCTCAACATTGTCAATCAATTTTAACAAAGTGAATATTATTTAGCACTATTGTTGAAGAATTTTAATGATGTGAAACCTTTTTTTTTCAGGGATACAGGGAATAGTTTCCATGCATTAATTCAATTATTTTTAATGTTTTTTATTTTTTTAGAGCTTTTGTTAAATTATGTGAAAAACAGAACAAGCTTAGCACTGAGATTCTTGTGGAACATGAGGTTTGTTTTGGAAGTCTTTTGACTTATGAGACTTAACTGTGCCTCTGAATAACATGTCAACTTTGTGGTTGAGCCAAAATTGTGATTTGTCTTAAGCTGTCTTCAATTACCTTCATTATGGCAGCAATTTAAAAGCGGAAACAAATAAAGTAGACCAGAATCCTCTAATTTCATTTTATGACATATGAAACTTTGTCTATCTTGTAAAGTTTAAGTCTTATCAACCTTACTGCCCCATTTCATGCTAGAGCTTATCCTGATTTCTTTGGAATAAAGCAACCAGTCTAAAAATGACTGAGAACACCCTTCCCACAAAGGTTGCTTTTGTATCACTGGTAACCAATGTCTGCCAGTACCCACTGTACTACTCGGGGGAGAGGGGTAAGGGAACAATTGTGGTGATGAGGTGTCTTGTCTAAGAACACTCAAGAATACAATCAGTGTCCCAGACTTTTAGTTGTGGAGTTAAGTGCACGGCCCACTAAGCCGTTGCATCATCCATTGTAATGATATTTTTATATCGTCATCGTTTTTTTTCCATAGACATTATCGGAAGCTCAGACTCTTTTAGACAAGCTGAAACGGCAAAGTTATGGTAAGGCATCTCACCGGAATGTCACAACATTTAACCATTTGGAGGGAACGTTTTACTTTCAATTGATATATTAATTTTAAGATTGAAACATGATCAATTTTTTTTTTTCGGTGTTCTCCTCTTTCCCCTGCCTCTACCATTGCTTGCGGACAGGACACCGTTATTAGCGCTGCAGCACGCGCCTTTTTTCCACCAACGGGAAGATTTGAGACGAATCTGGGTGAGGTTTGTCGGGGGTGTGGTCCTCACTTTCGGTTCTAGACCCCTTGTAGACGTCTCGCTGACTCGCGTTACCGTCAAGGCCTCATACTTTCCTACGGGAGAAGAAATAACAATGAGGGCTTATAGGCTATATCTACTAAAAGCGTCTCTTTTGTTTCATTTTTAACGTGAAATGGTACATGAACGTCAATCGAATCTTTTTTACAGAGATAAAAAAGGAAAACCGAGGACTTATGAAACACCTTCAGGTAAGAAGACTAATATTGTGATTTACATACATTGAATTTCAGCAGTTTCTGTTAACTATTCCTCTTTTCCCGTGAGGTTCTAGATTGCGGGATTCAGTGGTATACTGGCTTAACAGTTATAGCGTTTGAACACTATAGTCGCATAACCCCAACGTTAGGCCAGTCACAAACCTTTCTTTTTTCCTTATCACAATTAAATGAAACAAACCTGCGGGTGATAAGTGAAAGAAATCATATCTGCAGGGCAGCTGCAATGAAAGACATTGCAGGAAAGAGGCCTGAAGAAATTCAATCCCTGCCAAGAGGACGAGCGAGATAACGTTTCGCGAAGCTTTCGAGCTCGCTTTGCTTAAAAAAACAACAAACATTGTAAAGAGGCAATATCAACTTTAGACAGGCCTCTTCAACATATCTCTCACTCACGCTGGTTGTCCTCTCTTCCAACAGAAACTTACAGACGAAAAGGAAAATGCTTCTTCTGACCCTTCAGATAGCAGAGTAATCCAAAAGTAAGTGCAGAATTTCTCATGAAGCACAATAGTTATGGACATGTCAAACATTTCTCCTTCGAAAATCAAGCATAATATATCCAATAGAACCAAATTTAGAACTCTTTCACGCGGCTAAAAAAGTATCACGTCGCGGCAGTTAAATCAACTGTAAACTAGCGGCATCAATTTTGAAACAGCTATATTCAATTAGTTAAAATTTATTGTTCTGCGAGGCTTTAATCGAAAAAGGTAAATGCTAAAGTTGAGAGAAAATCTACCGATTTTATTTCGAGATGGTCCCCAAAAACTGTGTGAAGGGATTTCCACATAACATTAGTATAGTAATATCGATTGCCATGTCGCGCTGACCGCTTCAATCCTTTGGTCAATACATGTGAGAATCGTTCAACTGCAGAGGGGGAAAGTTGGTTTTTTTAGCGCGCCGAGGGTAGCCGGTCAGAGCGCAGGAGAACTGTTTCCAGCCACAATT